CACTCTAGTTTTAAGTGATTCTCATTGTTATTAGCTGGTGAGTTTAATAGCAATGTGGTAATGATATCCCGTTTTCTTCCGGGGAAAATTTCATTGGAATCTCGTTTCCTTGAATAATTAAACACCTACTTTGGGTTCATTTGTTAGTACAAAAACAGCAGCAATATTAACTGCATATTGTATTAATGGGTAGAATATGGTGTCGGTGTTTCCGACAAATGTGACCGAGACACTGACTTGCACCCTAGTGTTTCATAAAGCCTTACCGGTGTATTCTGACAGAGACAACACTGACTTGCACCCTAGTGTTTCATAAAGCCTTACTGGTATATTCTGACAGAGACAACACTGACTTACACTCTAGTGTTTCATAAAGCCTTACTGGTGTATTCTGACAGAGACAACACTGACATACACCCTGGTGTTTCATAAAGCCTTACTGGTGTATTCTGACAGAGACAACACTGACTTGCACCCTAGTGTTTCATAAAGCCTTACTGGTGTATTCTGACAGAGACAACACTGACTTGCACCCTAGTGTTTCATAAAGCCTTACTGGTGTATTCTGACAGAGACAACACTGACTTACACTCTAGTGTTTCATAAAGCCTTACTGGTGTATTCTGACAGAGACAACACTGACTTACACCCTAGTGTTTCATAAAGCCTTACTGGTGTATTCTGACAGAGACAACACTGACTTGCACCCTAGTGTTTCATGAAGCCTTACCGGTGTGTTGTGGGGCTTATACCTGAGGAGCTGCAGCAGGAATCACCAACAGCGCCGAGAAACAACATTTTTATTGCAGTGTCAAGTGCAAAATGTCAATAAACCTCGACCCTGGGTATTATTATAGTCCAGGAGAGTCTTATGTTTATGTCTGCGTGACGGGATCATCTCAGCGTTGTTTGTCCCGAGTGTGCCCTTCTGAGTGACCTGAATGTTGGTGTGTCACAGCCTGAATGTTGACCTGTCACAGCCTGAATGTTGAGCTGTCACAACCTGAATGTTGGCCTGTCACAGCCTGAATGTTGAACTGTCACAGCCTGAATGTTGGCCTGTCACAGCCTGAATGTTGGCCTGTCACAGCCTGAATGTTGAGCTGTCACAGCCTGAATGTTGGAATGTCACAGCCTGAATGTTGAGCTGTCACAACCTGAATGTTGGCCTGTCACACCCTGAATGTTGGCCTGTCACAGCCTGAATGTTGGCCTGTCACAGCCTGAATGTTGGCCTGTCACAGCCTGAATGTTGAGCTGTCACAGCCTGAATGTTGGCCTGTCACAGCCTGAATGTTGGCCTGTCACAGCCTGAATGTTGGCCTGTCACAGCCTGAATGTTGGCCTGTCACAGCCTGAATGTTGGCCTGTCACAGCCTGAATGTTGGCCTGTCACAGCCTGAATGTTGGCCTGTCACAGCCTGAATGTTGGCCTGTCACAGCCTGAATGTTGGCCTGTCACAGCCGGAATGTTGACCTGTCACAGCCTGAATGTTGGCCTGTCACAGCCGGAATGTTGACCTGTCACAGCCTGTATGTTGAACTGTCACAGCCGGAATGTTGAACTGTCGCAGCCTGAATGTTGACCTGTCACAGCCTGAATGTTGGCCTGTCACAGCCGGAATGTTGAACTGTCACAGCCTGAATGTTGGCCTGTCACAGCCTGAATGTTGACCTGTCACAGCCTGAATGTTGAACTGTCACAGCCTGAATGTTGACCTGTCACAGCCGGAATGTTGAACTGTCACAGCCTGAATGTTGACCTGTCACAGCCGGAATGTTGACCTGTCACAGCCCGAATGTTGGCCTGTCACAGCCTGAATGTTGGCCTGTCACAGCCTGAATGTTGACCTGTCACAACCTGAATGTTGTCCCCCAGTTCTAGAGAGTAATCATTGGTGATAAAGATACGTTATTATGGTATACTTTACAAATTAATGTTCGCAAGGCACCATCACACGTTGTCACTGTTTTGTAAACAAACGCTTTCTGACTCGGGTGCTCCCGTAGGTCGCTTCTCTCTCGAGTTTGGCTCCACCCTCTCGCTAGAGACGGTAGCTTTCAATGAATATTAATTGATTATTTTTACTGTCAAGACATATGATTGAGATAAGATTTGATTATAATATAATTAGATATAGGATTTAAAAATTATAAGTAGTACTTGCTAGTACTACTGATTCTTATTAAGGATTTGATTTAATCCTCACCGGAAATTGATTGATTGTTCCAATAGTTTTTAATTAAGATGGACCAGTGTGTCTCGAAGTTGCTAGATCTTTGGGAAATCGTTCACCAAGTCACGTAGGCAACTATAGTTACCTATGGTGTATGTGATCAGAGGTGGCATTGTCCTGTAGGATCCAGATGTAGGATATAGTGAATCTGTAGTGATTCTGAGATGATTTTGATACTCTGTGTAAGTGATTAGCATCATTTGTTTTCATAATTGACCTACTCAGAGTAGATGGAAGAGCGACGGATTGGCTTCTTGCAGGTCGGCGTTCGAACCCTGAATGTGGTAGCGGTTGGGCAGCATTGCTTTCCTCCGTCCGGTCCCAACTCCTTGTCCTCGTGTCCCTTCATGGTGGTATGTAGTCATTGTGGCTTAGCGCTTTTCCCCTGGGAGTTACATGAGCTCTCTCCTGGTGAGTACATGTACTTTCTCCTGGTGAGTACAAGTGCTTTCTTTTGATAATTACATTTGCTCTCTCTTGATAATTCTCGGTGAATGGAAAATATTTTTATTTTATTTTTTATTTATTTATATACAATAAGGTACATTGGGTTTGTGAGAATTGTGAGAGTAAGAATGAGAGAAATATTGGAAACGATCTACAACTCAGATTCAAAAGTTGAATATAATTGGAAGTTTGTTAACCAATATTCCAAATCACAACTTATGTTTTTAAAGGTAAAAAAGAGAGCGATTAAGATTGCAATCTAATGTTAGAAATAAATTAAAATATGTTTTAGCGACTCGAACGAGAGAATTATCAATATTGTGATCTTTTTTGGGCAAACCATAGATGGGAATAAGATCATAATATTGATTTTAAAAAAGGTGAAATAGCCTATAAAAGTAATATTAGAACTAGAGGGGCAGTAGAAAGGGTTTTAATATATACTCTGAATACTTTCGCTGCCAACAAAAGCTTTACTTCGGAGGATAACTTTACTAGGAAAGTGATTCTGAGTGAATTAAAATTAGATCCCAATAAAGTTACGAGGGATAGCATCCAGATTAACAACTCTAGTAATAACAACTCCAACTCTCAGAGTATCAGGATTACAGACAGGACACCTGGCCATAGTTCCATAGAAGACATCACCGCAGGTGCAACACCAGTCCAGGATAGCGGTGACCTGGTCAGGAAGTCAAGAAGGATAGCAGGACTGGACCCTAGGATACCAGCCTCACTAGACATTGATGATTTAAGTCTCGTCCTAACCCCACACTCAGAGCTTGACGAAGCACTCAGGAGAGTGAGAAAGACTTCGTGTAAATCATTTATAATAAAATGTAAAATGGTTGTCTCCTGTTGTGTGATGGTGAGCTCTTCACATGATTAATCGCACTCACCACCTGTGTAGTGTGACACATTCAACACCAGGTGTAGTGATGAGACACATTCAACACCAGGTGAAGTGAGACATGCTCAACTTGTGGAATGAGAAACATAAAACAAATGAGTTGAGACATAATCCCGGCTACATGAGACACACGACCCTATTGCAGTAATACTCAACTCCCCCCCCCAAAAAAAAAAAAAAAATTATAATAACCGAATTAACCAGTGTAATGAGAGACTTTTCCTCAGGTGTAATGAGACTTTCCTCGGCCGATAAAGAAATGAGAGAGTGAGTGAGAGAGACACTCTCACTGCGGTAAGCAGTGAGCTCCATAGATCCGTTTCTTAGCATTGATCTTCACAATGAATTCACAATTCTTTGGGAGAATTTGTAAGTTCTTGGAAGGTGTTTGGAATCTTTGGGGTCGTTATTAAGTCCGTAGCTTATAGACCAATCAGTAAATCTCTTTATGTATACAGTATACTGTGAAAGGTGGAGTATACATCTTCGTATACATATCCTTAGTTATTTGGGGGATTGGATTTGGCTAGACATAATTTCTGGATGGGTATTGAGGTCACTACAAAGTATACTGACTGGCCAACTGGTATACTTTACACCTTAAGTAAACTCACAGTGTATATTCGCCGAAAAGCGAGTTTACCTCTGTAGGTATATATACTTTATGTCATCTATTGGTAATATATATTGACAATATCATGAAACATTTATGAGATTCAATTGTATTCAATAATAAACTTGTTAAGAATCAGATTATCTAACAAACACATTAAATATACACATCTGTATTGAATTTTTATTGTTAAAAAAATGGTAATTACTTATCTGCTAGAAGTAACAACAGGTAAACTAACACTGGTTTTCCAATTGTATTTATTTAATAATATGAAGTAAACAATAGTCAGCCAGGGCTGAGGACTGGGCTTATATTCTAAGACGTCCATGTCGGCCTTCATGGGCTCTTTGGTATCTGTATGACTCAAAATCAAAGCACAGGAACACCATTCACTGATTATAGTCAAAGACACGACGTTTCACACCTAAAGAATTAAATACACACGCACACACACACACGCACACGCACGCACACACACACGCACACACCACAATGCTGTAGCACAGGAAAACTTAACAGATATGGTATCTAAAGTTCCCTCTTTCTCTGAGCCTCAGTTGACCCCCCAAGAACGCGAGATTAGAAAACGGCACCAATAATTTAGTCTGATGTTGCAACTCGTCCTCTTAAAAATAACGTCACTTTTGGCTGGTATGCGCGGCGCTATGGCCAAATTTGGACATAATTTGAAATGAAATCGACTCACAAAAGTGACGTACTGTCCCGTTTTCTGTTTGAGTCGTCCGGCTTACTCCGTAAGGTTAGGAGAGGAAACTTTCAACTAACGTTTTTTATAACGTTTTGAAACTTTATGAGAAAGTCCTGCCCACCTAACCTATCAGAGGACCCTTAACTTACTGTTGTTGAAAAAAATCCCAAATTTATTTTCGTTTTTAAATTACGTCTACTTTTGGCCATACTGGTAAACGGCCAAAAGCGACGTTACTTTTAAGTGGACAGGTGCATCGGTTGGTAGGAAGGACAACACAAGACAGGAGGGACAAATGTTTACAAAAATTACATTTGTGTAAAACCAACAACTTTGTCTTAAGTCTCGTCAAGAAGTGAAGGGATTTATTCTCTCATGTTGTTGTTGTTGTGTATGTTTCAATATCACAGTGACGCCACGAGTATGAGCGCTTCTACTGGACAAATATATAAATATACTTGCTCATCCAAAAGAAAAACTAAATAATAATTACATGCGATAATTATACAAATTATATACAGTATCAAGAGATGAATTAACCCCCATGAACTCTTTTTTTTTGTGTTTTTTTTATATATAAGTTTTTGACAATTACAATTTTATTTATTGCAGGTTTACCTATGACGAAGGTTTAATAATTACAGACTGTACCTTACAAACAGTACACTTAACTACAGGAACTCAACTCCTCTCATCAGATAAGAAAGCCACAGTTACCCCTTGACAGACACGAGACTACTGACCTAGAGAAAACGTGGAAGAACGTAGCACACTAAGACAAGGACTCCCACACTCTTCTACACAACGTTTCAAAATACAGAGCATTAATAGTGCTCCTTTTTTGTTTATCGAAATTTAACATTTTCAGTAAAATTGTTAACCCTCTCTGCTATAACTTCAAAATAACAGTGTTAAAATAAGGAGGGTTAAATTAACATAGTTTCTCACATGAGGTTCACATAAGATTCTGAAGGAAGATGGGGACTAATTAGTCCCCCTATTTATACGCCTTAGTTATATATTATTATCAAACGCCCTGTCACGGCCCTATTTAGCAACCAATTATAGGTTAGATTGCTAGAATAAGGTTAAATATAGCTGGTGAAGAATTAACATTTTGCTATAATTCCTCTCCTCCTCCCCACCGTCGCTATCACAGATGACCGCAGCTGTAGCCACGTGTGTGTATAATGTATTTCGCTGTATTTGCTGTATTATGCAGTGTGTCGGGTGCTGTAGGCCTATTTAGTGTAATATGACTGGTCAGCGTCCCAAGCATATTCGTTATTTTTAAGCTGTGACTGTTCACTTGTGCAGGGTTGTTCAGCACAGTCTTGTTGTTCATCTCGCTGAGGGTGATGAACAAAGTATGAACGGAGGATACAGTGTGTCTCTTCGTCCGACTGTAACTGTTCATCACAGTGTGGGTGTTCATCACAGCATGAACGAAATGTTTTGTGGGCTGGTGAGCGTTCATATGGAGAATGTTGAACATGAAGGGTGTGCTCTGGGGAGTGTTCATCGCAGTAGGAGTCTTGGGTGTGGGAAGTGTGTGCTGGTGAAAGTTCATCACAGTATGAATGATGAGTACTGCAGGTGTGGGCTGGTGATTGTTCATCACAGCATGAATGATGAGTACTGCAGGTGTGTGCTGGTGACTGTTCATCACAGTATGAATGAAGAGTACTGCAGGTGTGTGCTGGTGATTGTTCATCACAGCATAAATGCTGAGTACTGCAGGTGTGTGTTGGTGACTGTTCATCACAGTATGAATGCTGAGTACTGCCGGTGTGGGCTGGCGACTGTTCATCCCAATAAGACTGCTGCGTGGAGCTTGTGTGCGTTGGAGTGTGTTGAGTGCGTGGGTGTTGCGTGTGTGGGCGTTGCGTGTGTGGGCGTTGCGTGTGTAGATGTTGCGTGTGTGGGTGTTGAGTGCGTGGGTGTTGCGTGCGACACATGTGTGCTGGCGACGGGGTTTGGACCGTAACAGGGAGCCTGGGCTACACCGAGGTCGTCATCTCTTCTATGACTGTGATATTCCGCCGAGGGTGGGCGGCGGGCGGCGCCACCCGCCGGAGTATGGGCGGCAGCGGCACAGGCGGCACGCTGCCGTCGTGGGCGGCGGGAAGCGGTCGTCTCGCTCCAGCGCTGCCTACCTGTCCCAACCTCGCTAAACCTTCGGGTTCGCTAAAACTCACACCACTAGTCTGCCGCAAGCGTCTTCCCGCCGCATGTGCCGGCTGCGGCGGCCTGGCGATGGGCTCATCGTCCTCATCTTCGGCATCGAAGTCAATGTTCTCCTGACAGTCATTGAAAAACACATTGTCGTATTTACACGAAGAGCCGCACTGGCCCACATAGTCGTAGTAATTGTCCAATAATCCTTCTTCGGATATGCAGGTGAGGAGTTCGGGCTTGAGGCGCGCCTCCATCACATCTACCGAACTCGCGAAGGAAATGGTCTTGCCCAGTTTGCCGAAGACTTGGCCCTTACTGGCGTCGTACATCTGGGCGCTGATGGGAGCCGGAGCGGAGGTAGGGTCCGCGCCACATGTACACACCGGACCACCACCACCACCACTGCCGCCACTGGCTATCTGCGGCGTGGCTGTGGTCTTCGGGGTACAGCCACCTACACTGACGCCGCCACTGCCACCGCCACCCCCGTTCTCCAGCGGCACGGCGTACGGGTCGTGGGCCAGGTGGGCGTCCACAGTGGTGAAGGAGACGGTGGTGTCGTGTTTGGCCAGGCGCTCCTTGAAGTAGTTGAGGAGGAAGAGGCACGACGCTCCGGACAACAGGAAGAAGCTGGCGAAGAAGTAGCCAGTCTTGGGCGTGCTGTCGTTGATGTAACCTGTGGAGGCAGCACAACAACATCTTAGATCTCCCAATCATAGCAAAATACCATAAATACAATCTAACATATATATAATTATATATATATATATATATATATATATATATATATATATATATATATATATATATATATATATATATATATATATATATATATTAAATATGACCGAAAAAGTAAGATTAATAATTCTAACACGAATTTTCTCGATCTTTCTTACGTTTCTTTTCACTGTTGATGGTAATTCAAAGATCAGTTCTCCAAAATTCATTTTTATTTCTAGTCTGACGCGACACTTGAGCGCGTTTCGCAAAACTTATTACATTTTCAAAGACTTTAGTTTACAAACACACAACTGAAACTGAATAGAGCTTACACATCTTCGATTTTATATCTACATTTGGGTGAGGTGGATGAGGTGAAAACAAACTTTCAACAATGGGTATTGAATGGGTATTAAATTTAAACACAAGACAGAACACGAAACAATGGGTATTGAATGGAAGTAATTGTAGAAAGCCTATTGGTCCATATTTCTTGATGCTTCTATATTGGAGCGGAGTCTTGAAGTGGGTAGAATATAGTTGTGCATTAATTGGCTGTTGATTGCTGGTCTTGACTTCTTGATGTGTAGTGCCTCCCAGACGTCGAGCCGCCTGCTATCGCTGTATCTATCGATGATTTCTGTGTTGTTTGCTAAGATTTCTCTGGTGATGGTTTGTTTGTGGGAAGAGATTATATGTTCCTTAATGGCGCCCTGTTGCTTATGCATCGTTAAACGCCTGGAAAGAGATGTTGTTGTCTTGCCTATATACTGGGTTTTTTGAGGCTTACAGTCCCCAAGAGGGCATTTGAAGGCATAGACGACGTTGGTCTCTTTTAAAGCGTTCTGCTTTGTGTCTGGAGAGTTTCACATGAGTAGGCTAGCAGTTTTTCTGGTTTTATAGTAAATCGTCAGTTGTATCTTCTGATTTTTGTCTGTAGGGATAACGTTTCTACTGACAATATCTTTCAGGACCCTTTCCTCCGTTTTATGGGCTGTGGAAAAGAAGTTCCTGTAAAATAGTCTAATAGGGGGTATAGGTGTTGTGTTAGTTGTCTCTTCAGAGGTTGCATGGCGTTTCACTTTCCTTCTTATGATGTCTTCCACGAAACCATTGGACAAGCCATTGTTGACTAGGACCTGCCTTACCCTACAGAGTTCTTCGTCGACTTGCTTTCATTCTGAGCTGTGGCTGAGGGCACTGTCGACATAAGCGTTAACAACACTCCTCTTGTACCTGTCCGGGCAGTCGCTGTTGGCATTCAGGCACATTCCTATGTTTGTTTCCTTAGTGTAGACTGTAGTGTGGAAAACTCCGCTCCTTTCCATGACTGTTACATCTAGAAAGGGCAGCTTCCCATCCTTCTCCATCTCGTAAGTGAAACGCAACACAGAATTCTGCTCAAATGCCTCCTTCAGCTCCTGCAGATGCCTGACATCAGGTACCTGTGTAAAAATGTCGTCAACATACCTGCAGTATATGGCCGGTTTCAAGTTCATGTCGACTAAGACATTTTGCTCGATGGTACCCATGTAGAAGTTTGCAAACAGGACAACTAGGGGAGAACCCATGGCGACCCCATCTACTTGCTTATACATGTGTCCATCCGGGCTCAAGAAGGGTGCCTCTTTAGTACAAGCTTGGAGTAGTTTCCTTAGACTGTTTTCTGGTATGTCAAGAGGAGTACAGGCCGGATCACGGTACACTCTGTCGGCTATCATTCCGATTGTCTCATCCACAGGTACGTTGGTAAACAGAGATTCTACGTCCAACGAGGCTCTTATCCCTGTGGCCCGTGTTCCCCGCAGCAAGTCAACAAATTCCTTTGGAGACTTCAGGCTGAAGGCGCAAGGGACATAAGGAGTCAGCAAGCCGTTGAGTCGTTTCGCCAGTCTGTACGTGGGTGTGGGTATCTGGCTGATGATTGGCCGAAGTGGGTTTCCAGGCTTGTGTATCTTGACATTTCCATATGCATATCCAGGTTTATATTCCCAATAATCTTTGGCAGGTGGAGTCCAGATTTCTTGGCGTTCACAGTTTCGATCAATTTGTTGACCTTTGCTTTCAGTTTGGCTGTAGTGTCCTTCGTTACCCTTTGGAATTTAGTTTGGTCAGAGAGTATGAGGTTCATTTTCGCTAGATATTCGTCTTTTTCGCCAATATATAAGTCGCCAATATACGTCATTCTTAAAAAAGAATATAATATCACATAAGAGGCTGGTGCATAAGTTGGCGAAACAGACAAGAGTTACTGGTACGGTGCTCCAATGGATAGGGAGTATTTAACCAATAGGAATCAGAGAGTTACTGTGAGGAGTGTAACACTAGAATAGCATGATGTCACCAGCAAGGTCCCACAAGGTTCTGTACTAAGATGTTATCTTCTTTCTCATATACGTAAATCACCTTCTAAAGGGAATAGATTCTCTTTTCTCAATGTCTGCTGATGATTCTTATGAGGGGGATTAAGACAGAGGAAGACAGCTTGAGGGCTTCAAGTTTGTCCTGGACAAATAGTAAGATTGGCCCAACAAAAGGCCACTAGAGTTTAACCCGAGCAAATATAAAGTAATGAAGATAGGTGTAGTGAGCAGAAGGCCAGATAAAAGATATCATTTGGAGGGATGAACTCCTTCAAGAGTCAGAGAGATAGAAAGACCTGGGGATTGATATCACGCCGGACCTGTCCCCTGAAGACCACGTCAAGAGGATAACATCGGCGGCGATATCCAGGTTGTCCAACACAAGAACTAATTGTGTTAACACGTTTAAGGAATCATTTCCAACCTTGCGTACCACATATGTCAGAACAATCATGGAGTATGCAGCTCCAGCGTTGAGTTCGTATCTAATGAAGCAAAAGACTAAATTGGAGAAGGTTCAAAGGTATGCCACAAGACTAGTACCCGAGCTGAGGGATATGAAATACGAGAAAACACTGCTGGAACTAACCCTTACGTCGCTGGAAGACAGAAGAATTCGGGGAAACATGATCACCATATACAAGATTCTTAGGGGAATTGATAGGATAGATACAGACAGATTATTTAAAACGGGCAGTACTCGCACAAAGGGACACAGGTGGAAGATTAGTACTCAAATGAGCACAGGGACGTTAGAAAGAACTTTTTTAGTGTCAGAGTGGTTGACAAATGGAATGCAATAGGCAGTGATGTGGTGGAGGCTGACTCCATACATAGTTTCAAATATAGATATGATAGAGTCTAATAGGCTCTGGAACCTGTACACCAGTTGATTGACAGTTGAGGGGCGGGACCAAAGAGCCAGAGCTCAACCCCTGCAACCACAACTAGGTGAGTACTAGCGTACCCCTACACTAAACAGCCAAAGGAATAAGAAGCAAGAAAGAGATAACAACATTACCAAGGACCCAGTAACTTACCTTAAACATTTCTACCTAAGATTTCTCTCCAAGATACAAGCTCTTGAAAACATGTATTTACAATCTACCAACTCCACATATATGTTCGTTTTTCTTCAGAGACTCTTTAGTTGTTCAGTAAAATAATGCTTTCTGGTTGTTAAAACTATAGAGTCAAATACTCCATTTAATTTCTTGCAGTTTTATATTTCATGCCTATATTATGTAGGCCTACCCTGACCTTCCTCATTATACCCCCCCTCTACCGTATACACTTATACACTCATGACCACAGTACTCAACTCTATACTCCTTCTCTCACTCACTACACCCTATACACACTCACAACCCACCACAGGCGCACTCTAAACACACACAACCCACCACACACACACACACACACACACACACACACACACACACACACACACACACACACACACACACACACACACACACACACACACACACATACAACCCACCCACCCACCCCGTACCAAAGAGAGAGAAGAACGTGAGAGACATACCCGTGATAGGGATGCCCAGGAGGATGGGGAGAGCAGTGCCGCCCTGGATGAAGCCCCAGGCGCGGGAGAAGTGTCTGGCCCGCACCTTCTCCAACGTCAACATCTGGAAGGAGTAGTGGGCGCCGCCCAGGAACATGCCGTAGAGCCACATGAAGAGCACGTACCCGTAGTAGCCCCTCACCGCCGTCAGCGCCAGCATCGTCACCCCTGGAACAGAGTCAGTATAGTCACCCCTGGAACAGAGTCAGCATAGTCACCCCTTGCAATAGAGTCAGCATAGTCATCCCCTGCACCAGTTAGCATAGTTACCCCCTGCAAGAGCCGGACTTACATTACGGGTTATGTTATCATGGCTCTGTTAGAGTCAGGGGGGTCCGTCTATATTCCTGTTAGAGCCAGGGGGTCCCTCTATATTACCTATATTACTGTTAGAGTCAGGGGGTCCCTCTATATTACTGTTTGAGTCAGGGGGTCCCTCTATATTACTGTTAGAGTTCAGGGGGGTCCCTCTATATTACTGTTAGAGCCAGGGGGGCCCCTCTATATTACTGTTAGAGTCAGGGGGTCCCTCTATATTACTGGTAGAGTCCGGGGGGTCCCTCTATATTACTGTTAGAAGCAGGGGGGTCCCTCTATATTACAGTTAGAACAAGGGGGGTCCCTCTATATTACTGTTAGAACCAGGGGTCCCTCTATTAAACCCTAATATGGTAATTTGTTATATAAATCAGTAAAGCAGTTTGTTAACCAATTTTTGTCAAGTTATTTCTGAATATAAACTTGCTTGTTTGCTAATTGTCGTACTGGGCACGACAACTGGGAACAAATATATATATGGGAGTCCCTGGCAGGTGGGATTGTCTGCCTAGGATGAGATAAGGCTGGAAAACCTTATATGATTGTACTTGTGATATAGGATATATCTGATATAGGAAAGATATCATTGTACTTGTGTCCAGAACAATCAAATTTGTGTCGTTGCTAGATCTGATTGGTGTAAACTATCTTGGGAGATGCAATGTATTTATATCATACAACAGTCCGTGATAGCAGGGGACTTTTAACATTGATATCAGTGACTCTTAACATTGATAACAGGGACTCCTAATATTGATAACAGGGACTTTTAACATTGATAACAGGGACTCTTAACATTGATTACAGGGATTCTTAACATTGACAACAGGGATTCTTAACATTGGCAAGGATGTCATGAACGGTAGCAACGGGAGGAACGGCAGGAACGTGAGTTATATTTGAAGGGAAGGAGGTGGCAGATTTTGTGGATTTAATTAACAACTCATTCACCAAAAAATGACCGATTTCGGGCACCAATCCTCCTGAAATTGACCATTTTCGGGCGCCAGTCCTTAACTGTAGCCTCTGTTCACCCAGCAGTGAATGGGTACCTGGTTGTTAAACGATTTGGCGGGTCGTATTCCCGGGAATATTAGGATTATGGACCTGCCTGAAACGCTGTGCGTGCTGGTGGCTGTACAAGACTGTACGAACTCTTGTATATACAAAATAAACAAAGAAACATAAATAAATGATTGAATTTATAGTAAATATCGGGTGGAAACTACCAAAATGTAGTTATGGACCACTAGTAAACAACTTTTTTGTACTATCAATTTTATAGCCCGGCAAAAATAATGCTAAATACCAAACTTTAATATTCCTAGGCCTAGTATAGCACCTATATGTACTATATAAGGCCTTAGATAACGTCCTCGGATTGCTCGGAGAGGTTAGGTTAATTCTTATATTTATGCTGAGACAATCAATCATTCAAAATTGAACGTCCTACTGGGCCATTCCTACACATTGGTACTTTTGAGCAAATAGTTATTATAAGTATTGTTATTTAGGAGGATGGGATGTTATTTCAGGACAAATTATATCATTTGCTGAGCGATTAATGATTCGAGAATCTTGCCAGTAATGGAGAGCAGTGATTCTGTAGTTACCAATCACTGAGCGGCTCTTCTGTTTATCTACTGGAACAACATCTGCCTTCTTCCATAAGGGCTAAATTCGTTGTCCCTCATCAGTACACCCTCCAGTACTCACCCAGACCAGACCACCCAGTACTCACCAGTACACCCAGTACACCCAGTACTCACCAGTACACCCAGTACTCCCCAGTACACCCAGTACTCACCAGTACACCCAGTACTCACCAGTACACCCAGTACTCACCAGTACACCCAGTACTCCCCAGTACACCCAGTACTCACCAGTACACCCAGTACTCACAATACACCCTCCAGTACTCACCCAGACCATATATGGAGGCCTGACACAGGTACTGCCCCTCCCCAGTACTCACCAGTACACCCAGTACACCCAGTACTCACCAGTACACCCAGTACTCACCAGTACACCCAGTACTCACCAGTACACCCAGTACTCACCAGTACACCCAGTACTCACCAGTACACCCAGTACTCACCAGTACACCCAGTACTCACAATACACCCTCCAGTACTCACCCAGACCATATATGGAGGCCTGACACAGGTACTGCCCCTCCCCAGTACTCACCAGTACACCCAGTACACCCAGTACTCACCAGTACACCCAGTACTCACCAGTACACCCAGTACTCACCAGTACACCCAGTACTCACCAGTACACCCAGTACTCACCAGTACACCCAGTACTCCCCAGTACACCCAGTACTCACCAGTACACCCAGTACTCACAATACACCCTCCAGTACTTACCCAGACCATATATGGAGGCCTGACACAGGTACTGACCGTCCCCAGTACACCCAGTACTCACCAGTACACCCTCCAGTACTCACCATTACACCCAGTACTCCCCAGTACACCCAGTACTCACCAGTATACCCAGTACTCACCAGTACACCCTCCAGTACTCACCATTACACCCAGTACTCCCCAGTACACCCAGTACTCACCAGTACACCCTCCAGTACTCACCCAGACCATATATGGAGGCCTGACACAGGTACTGACCCTTCCCAGTACACCCAGTACTCACCAGTACACCCAGTACTCACCAGTACACCCAGTACTCACCAGTACACCCAGTACTCACCAGTACACCCAGTACTCACCAGTACACCCAGTACTTACCAGTACACCCTCCATTACTCACCAGTACACCCAGTACTCACCAGTACACCCAGTACTCACCAGTACACCCTCCAGTACTCACCCAGACCATATATGGAGGCCTGACACAGGTACTGCCCCTCCCCAGTACACCCAGTACTCACCAGTACACCCTCCAGTACTTACCCAGACCATATATGGAGGCCTGACACAGGTACTGGCGGGAGATCATGCACTGGGCGCTCTGTTTGACGACAATGAGACCGAAGCCAATGCATCCGAGGGCGTAGGCGAAGCCCAGGAAGGTCTGGAGCAGGATGAGGGCAGAGTCCTCCAGGCCCTCCTGCTGCGCCCCGAGGATCTGCGGCGGGAGAGGCGGTTACTACGGGATCACCATAGCCCGTGCTACTTGCAACTTTTTGTTCCGGGTAGCGAATCTTACACAACAGAGTTGGTTATTTCAGGCCTGTGTGTGTGTGTGTGTGTGTGTGTGTGTGTGTGTGTGTGTTGTGGGGAGGGTGTCTGGTGTTGTGTGTGGGGCTTGTTGCTCACAGTACTGTGAGGTATCTGTTGCTCACAGTACTGTGAGGTACCTGTTGCTCACAGCACTGTGAGGTACCTGTTGCTCTCAGTATTGTGAGGTGCCTGTTGCTCTCAGTACTGTGAGGTGCCTGTTGCTCACAGTACTGTGAGGTATCTGTTGCTCTCTCAGTACTGTGAGGTGCCTGTTGCTCTCAGTACTGTGAGGTGCCTGTTGCTCACAGTACTGTGAGGTATCTGTTGCTCTCTCAATACTGTGAGGTGCCTGTTGCTCTCAGTACTGTGAGGTGCCTGTTGCTCTCAGTACTGTGAGGAACTTATCTCTCACAGTACTGTGAGGAACGTCTCTCTCATTATTGAGAGGAATTTGTGTAACATCAAGTGAGGAATTGAATTGTCAGGTGGTTACTCATTAGATACTCACGAGGCAGAGGAGATATACTCAAGAGATAGCGGGGAGTGCCTCTTCTCTCCTGAGAGAGACCTCTTCTTCAAGGGCTGGAAAAGAGGTACCCACAAAGTAGAGGAGATCGAGGTACTCACAAGGCAGAAGAGAGATACTCACGAGTTAGAGAAGAGGAATACCACAAGGTAGAAGAGCTATACTCAGGGGGTAGAAGAGCGGTACTCAGGGAGGTAATAGAGCGGTTCTCAGGGAGGAAGAAGAGCGGTACTCAGGGCGGTAATAGAGCAGTACTCAGGGAGGTAATAGAGCGGTACTCAGGGAGGTAATAGAGCAGTACTCAGGGAGGTAATAGAGCGGTACTCAGGGAGGTAATAGAGCAGTACTCAGGGAGGTAATAGAGCAGTACTCAGGGAGGTAATAGAGCGGTACTCAGGGAGGTAATAGAGCAGTACTCAGGGAGGTAATAGAGCGGTACTCAGGGAGGTAATAGAGCGGTACTCAGGGAGGTAATAGAGCAGTACTCAGGGAGGTAATAGAGCAGTACTCAGGGAGGTAATAGAGCGGTACTCAGGGAGGTAATAGAGCGGTACTCAGGGAGGCAGAAGAGCAGTACTCAGGGAGGTAATAGAGCGGTACTCAGGGAGGTAATAGAGCGGTACTCAGGGAGGTAATAGAGCGGTACTCAGGGAGGTAATAGAGCGGTACTCAGGGAGGTAATAGAGCAGTACTCAGGGAGGTAATAGAGCGGTACTCAGGGAGGTAATAGAGCGGTACTCAGGGAGGTAATAGAGCAGTACTCAGGGAGGTAATAGAGCGGTACTCAGGGAGGCAGAAGAGCAGTACTCAGGGAGGTAATAGAGCGGTACTCAGGGAGGTAATAGAGCGGTACTCAGGGAGGTAATAGAGCAGTACTCAGGGAGGTAATAGAGCAGTACTCAGGGAGGTAATAGAGCAGTACTCAGGGAGGTAATAGAGCGGTACTCAGGGAGGTAATAGAGCAGTACTCAGGGAGGTAATAGAGCAGTACTCAGGGAGGTAATAGAGCAGTACTCAGGGAGGTAATAGAGCAGTACTCAGGGAGGTAATAGAGCGGTACTCAGGGAGGTAATAGAGCGGTACTCAGGGAGGTAATAGAGCGGTACTCAGGGAGGTAATAGAGCGGTACTCAGGGAGGTAATAGAGCGGTACTCAGGGAGGTAATAGAGCGGTACTCAGGGAGGTAATAGAGCGGTACTCAGGGAGGTAATAGAGCGGTACTCAGGGAGGTAATAGAGCGGTACTCAGGGAGGTAATAGAGGAGGTAACTCAGAGAGGTAATAGAGCGGTACTCAGGGAGGTAATAGAGCGGTACTCAGGGAGGTAATAGAGCGGTACTCAGGGAGGTAATAGAGCAGTACTCAGGGAGGTAATAGAGCAGCACTCAGGGAGGTAATAGAGCAGTACTCAGGGAGGTAATAGAGAGCACTCAGGGAGGTAATAGAGCAGTACTCAGGGAGGTAATAGAGCGGTACTCAGGGAGGTAATAGAGCAGTACTCAGGGAGGTAATAGAGCGGTACTCAGGGAGGTAATAGAGCGGTACTCAGGGAGGCAGAAGAGCAGTACTCAGGGAGGTAATAGAGCGGTACTCAGGGAGGTAATAGAGCGGTACTCAGGGAGGTAATAGAGCGGTACTCAGGGAGGTAATAGAGCGGTACTCAGGGAGGTAATAGAGCGGTACTCAGGGAGGTAATAGAGCGGTACTCAGAGAGGTAATAGAGCGGTACTCACGAGGTAGAAGAGCGGAGCATAGAGGCCAACAGAGGTGACGGCCGCTGTCATCAGCAGCACCTGTACAGAGCGCAGCTTGAGGCAGCTGAGGTCGAAGTACGGCGGCTTGTCAGAGTCAACCTTGTGCTTGTCCTTCACCTGCTGAGGGGAGAGGTTATAGGGGTCACTGGGGGTCACTGGGGGTCACTGGGGGTCACTGGGGGTCACAGGGGTCACAGGGGTCACTGGAGGTCACACGGGGTCACTGGGGGTCAGTCACTGGGGGTCACTGGGGGTCACTGGGGGTCACTGGGGGGGGTCACTGGGGTCACTGGAGGTCACTGGGGGTCACGGGGTCACTGGGGGTCACTGGGTGTCACTGGGGGTCAGGGGTCACAGTCAGGGTCACAGGGGGTCACTTGGGGACACTGGGGTCAAATGGGGTCACTGGGGTCACAAGGGAGTCACACGGGGTCACTGGGGGAGTCACACGGGGTCACTCGCACGGGGTCACTGGGGGTCACACGAGGTCACTGGGAGTCACACGGGGTCACTGGAGGTCACTGGGGGTCACAGGGGTCACAGGGGTCACTGGAGGTCACACGGGGTCACTGGGGGTCACACGGGGTCACTGGGGGGGGGTCACTGGGGGTCACTGGAGGTCACTGGGGGTCACAGGGGTCACTGGAGGTCACACGGGGTCACTGGGTGTCATAGGGGTCACAGAGGGTCACAGGGGGTCACTTGGGGACACTGGGGTCAAATGGGGTCACTGGGGTCACAAGGGAGTCACACGGGGTCACTGGGAGTCACACGGGGTCACTGGGGGTCACTGGGGGTCACACGAGGTCACTGGGAGTCACACGGGGTCACTGGAGGTCACTGGGGGTCACTGGGGGTCACTGGGATCACACGGGGTCACTTGGGGTCACTGGGGGTCACTGGGGTCACACCAGGATAATATTACAAGCCCTTCCCTCTTGTGCGAGATATTACTGGCAGTATGAAGTATATAAGCGACAAAATGAAAGAAATATGTTCCAATATGAGGTATATCAGTGGACGTATAACGTATAACAATACTTGAGTCAGGTGTTGTATGTCACACTAGCGTGTCAAGCTTGGGTGGGTAGTATGATAGTGTCAAGCTTGGGGGGGGGGGTAGTGTGATAGTGCCAAGCTTGGGGGGGGTAGTGTGATACTGCTAAGCTTGGGGGGGGAGTATGATAGTGCCAAGCTTGGGGAGAGGGGGTAGTATGATACTGCCAAGCTTGGGGTGCGGGTAGTATTATACTCCCAAGCTTGGGGTATTATGATCGCTTGGGCGCGTAGTATGATTACAGAGCACAAGTTCGAGTCCATCTCACGGCTCCAGCTGACTCTCCCATCAAGATATCATTATATATTATTAAACACACTGATATCAAAAGTCAGGTGAGGGGAAGATGGGTATATTTACCTTTCTCTTCTGGTTCTTAAGATGCAAGATTGCTCTCCGCTGTGGGTGGTAGAGGGAGGCTGAGCGGTAGAAGATGCCCAGGAAGAAGGTAGTGAAGACCACGCCAGTCACGGCCTGTAGGCCTAGTCTCCAGCCTACTGACCTGCCGGGGGGGATGGTTAATTATGGGCCTGTATATGTCCTCTATAGCATGGTGGTCTATATACCGTGAGAGGCTAGTATAGTGAATATACGGTATAAACCCCTGGTTCATGCTGTACCTCCTGCCTGCTGGCTGGTAGGTTAGGTTAGGTCACACACACACACACACACACACACACACACACACACACACACACACACACACACACACACACACACACACATACACATCGTTTATTAGGGGGTGATGTGGTGGAGGCTGACTCCATACATAGTTTCAAGTGTAGATATGATAGAGCCCAATAGGCTCAGGAATCTGTACACCTGTTGATTGACGGTTGAGAGGCGGGACGAAAGAGCCAGAGCTCAACCCCCGCAAACACAACTAGGTGAGTGCTAGGTGAGTACACACACACACACACACACACACACACACACTCAGGAAACTCTAGAAATGCCTCACCTGATGGCCTCCTTGAAGAAGACGGAGAAGAGAGTGATGCCTATCCCACACCCGGACTGGGCAATGATCTCCACGAACTCTCTCCGACGCTTGAAGTACTGTCCCAGCATGAGGTTGGCTGTCTCTCTCGTCATACCCACGCCCACTCCCAGCGCCAGGCCGTAGCTGTCAGAGAACCACGACTCTCTCAACATATCATGTTAATATCCATCATGTTAACCTGTTTTATCCAGGCAATGATGATAACTTCGCCAGATCACTATTTTAACATGCGTGTATCAAGAGTAATACATGTATGAACATTGTTTCGAATGGAGCAATAAATAATTCTTGACTACTCTGAAGAGTTAGCTAACTATATGTACTCAGCTGAAGGTAAACAAATTAGACTCCTTCCTTAGAGTCCAATTTGTCTGAGATGAGAAATGTGACACATTTATCATCTTTATTGTTAATTTCCTGTGAAAATCTCTAGCATTTGTATGTTTAAGGTTGCTGTGGTTTTACACATATTCCAAGATTACCCTGGAGTTTATGTGTGCCAAGACTGCTCTTGTTATGCGTTTAAAGGGAGCATGAAATGCAGGGAGTCTGCGGAGTAGGCCACCCACATTTCATTACCTCTGACTACTTTGTGACGGGGAAAGGGGGGGGGGGGGGGAAGGTGGGAGGTTATGCGGTGGGAGAGGTGGTGGGAGAGGGGGTGGGAGAGGGGGTAGGGGAGGGGGAAGGGGGAAAGGGGGAAGGGAAGGGAAGGGAGGGGGGGGTAAACATTGCAGCAAACTCTCCCAGGTAAAACTGGTCCTACTCCGACCCACCAGTCTCATATATATATATATATATATATATATATATATATATATATATATATATATATATATATATATATATATATATATATAGGCTCGATATAGTCTACACATATTTTATACTAGGCCGCCTAGGAATATTTGTTTTTAGCTGTATATATTTTCCGGACATATAAAAATTAAAGTGAATAAGTGACCTTTTTTCATTTTAGTGGTCATCAGTACATATTGGTACTTGTCAAGCCAATACTTTGCATAATCCCCATCATTTCAAGAGGATTGTTGAGAGATACATGTATCCCTGACACTATGTGTAATCCAGTATAAATAATCAGGCACTACTTACCTGAAGAAACTTAGACACTTGTGCTGGACGGTGGAGCGACGGTCTCGCTTCATACAGGTCGGGGTTCAATCCCCGACCGTCCATACAAGTGGTTGGGCACCATTCCTTTCCCTCCGTCCCATCCCAAATCCTTATCCTGACTCCTTCCCAGTGCTATAGAGTCGTAATGGCTTGGCGCTTTCGCCTGATGAATTAACTATCGCCTGATAGTTAAAATAGTTCAAAAATAACTTACCTGAGGAAGATCTGATGAAGCTGCAAGGCGAAGGAGGCGAAGAGGATGGCCAGTGCCATGACCAGTCCACCAATGACAGCAGTGAGCCTGGTACTCTTCCGTCTACACAGTGCCACCACCAGAGGCGCTGACACCCTTGACACTGCCAGACTGGTCGACCCCACCCAACCTGAGGCAGGAGAGACACATACACACACACACATACACAACTCACAAACTCATTGTCACCGTCTAACAAATCAAATTTTCCCTATTAGGACCATTCAATAGCTCGGTCAATAGAGTTTTGGCCTCACGCCCGCGTGGGGGTCTACGGTTCGAGTCTCCTACAGCCCAGGCACGGCTATAGCACGTACATATCTAACTCATTTCATCTAACTTGACTCTTGCCAGTAGCTTGTAAAATAATTTACAACTTAATTCAGCTTTATTTTACGTATTACTAGTTAAGAATATGTCTACGTGTGGCCCTTTGCCTCTGGCTGACTCGCTAGGTGTTACTCATGGGTCCATGAATGAACACTTAGCTGTACAGAGCTGATTGAACATTGAACACCCAGGATGTTCACTACTCGTGCAGCTCTGACTCCACCAACAGCGGACAAACCACAATTTGTCGTTAACGACAAGATATTCTAAGTTAACTAGAGGGCTTCGCTATAGCTGGCCTGAGGGAGAAAAAAATAGCATATAGAGGAAATGTATCAAATATCTCCCATAACTATGAACGTAATCTTGTATCTTGTATCAGTCTCTAGCCAGATTGTGAATGTTGATACCACTCACATGATACCATATATATATATATATATATATATATATATATATATATATATATATATATATATATATATATATATATATATATATATATATATATATATAAAATGTCCTTCACTGTGACTCTCTTGATACAGCTGGTTTTCCTCAGTTGAGATATTTGTGGTCGTTGTGTATTATAGTAACCTTCCCTCTTCTGTGGAGGCTATTGCGTTCTTGCATTTGAGTCGTTTGCATTCTCTATCTAACCTAATTTTAGAGGTAGAGGTTATCTAAAGATAACCTCTACCTCTATTAGTGGGACATTATTTATGCTAATTGTTAATGTTTCTGAATTTAATACATCTATGGATGTCGTTAGCGTCCTGGAGTTCACGAAGGCTGCTCAGAGAATAGTGGAATATTAATTGATAATTTTGTTCAAGTCGTATCCACGATTATTGGGATAAAAAACGGATTGAATGCCTCTCACACATCTGTTTTGTTCACGTTACATGAGATTGCATTTAGCTTCAAGGAGCAAATCACTGCATCGTTCAAGGAGGATGAGACTCCTCCTTGAAGTTTGTATTTGCTCCTCAGTTTTTATTTGAGGTAAGGAAAAACTGGATCACTTCTTCATTGTGAATCTCGCTTTGGCCTGGGTTCGTATCCTGGCCGGGGGAAGGATTGACTAGGCGCCAATCCTTAACTGTAGCCTCTGTTCACCCAGCAGTGAATGGCTACCTGGTTGTTAAACGATTTGGCGGGTCGTATTCCGGGGAATATTAGGATTAAGGACCTGCCTGACACGCTATGCGTGCTGGTGACTGTACACGACTGTAAGAAATCTTGTATATTGAAGTGAAAGATAATACGTGGTAGAAACATTGACAAATATAAGCCACCGGCCACGTATGGAATAAAGTTGAAGTGAAGATGTTTCGGTGTGTTGTGGACCATTCTGCCTCACCTTCCCTCTTGCCTTAACCTGACCCTTCCTTTACCACCACGTGATAACAAACCAACACTGTCTGAACCGTAGCCCCTTTCACACGTGTGGGCAGACAGGTTATTACTGTCATTTTCTCCAGGAAGCTCAATTATCTATGATTTTATTACCAAATTGTCGCAAAATCTTGCCAAGAATCTTGAAAACCTTTAAGAAAAATGCGAATTAAACCTTGCCATTGTATCCTTAATGGCTGTGTTTACACAATCCCTTCGAAATGTTCTCTGTTATTTCTGTTTTTTTCTATTAACACCATCACCACTAACAAGGCCAATCTGTGCTGAACAAACTGGCCACAAACTACACCTTCACTAGAGAACACGAAGAACAAACATATTCATTGATCACTGGTCAGGATTCCTAGGTATTGATTATTCATTTGAGAAATTCAATCCTTCTCGTTAACCAGATTATTTAATTGAAAATCACCGAGTGTAAATTTGTTAATGAAGGAAATTGTATTTGAATCTTCTAAACTAATTACTTCTAATACAAGGACAATAAACATTATTTACACTGACAGTCATCACTAACACTGACAGTCATCACTGACTGTTGACCAGACCACACACTAGAAATTGAAGGGACGACGACGTTTCGGTCCGTCCTGGACCATTCTCAAGTCGATTGTGATGAGGACAGGTAGGGACAGGCATTAAATAGGCAAGAGAGAGCTGAGGAGGAAAGTCAGGTGTAGGGGATAGTAGTAATGAGAACTGCAGCAGGCCTATTGGCCCATACGAGGCAGCTCCTATTATAACCACCGAAGGAGAGAGTAATAGGAATAAGAAGAGGATAGCAAGGGAGCGTAGAAGACAATGAACAGAAAAAGGGAGAAGAGAGAAAGAAAGGAAAAGAGAAAGAAAGAAAAGGAAGGGGGAAAGCTTATGTTAAGTCACGTTTGTTAGAAAGATTAGAGCATTTGAGTATATACTGTGAAAGGGAAGAGTCCACAGCAACAAAGCCAGGACTCAAGTTCATCACTGACACTGAAAGTCATCACTGACACTGTTTTGGAATAGTTGTAAATATATATATATATATATATATATATATATATATATATATATATATATATATATATATATATATATATATATATATATATATATATATATGTATATATATATGTATATATATATAAATGTATATATATATATATATATATATATATATATATATATATATATATATGTATATATATATATATATATATGTATATATACCTTACTCATTAGTGTTGATTAGAAAATAGTATAAATAGTTGCCTATGATGCCTGGGCGCTACGGGTCTCGAACCAGGGACGTATAGGGCCGGGTACAGCCCAAGATCTATCGACTGGGCTATGGGTAGTCTTAAAAGGAAAATTTATTTCCACGGTTGTGTGGATAATAATTTACATGTCAACTGTAGCTTGGCATATTCTCATGTTTTTAACGTGCGAATGTTATTTGTAAATTCAGGTCATACAAATCAGCAAGAATTGGACTACATGGACTCTCTTCCTCTAACACAGACGTGCAAATGTGGACGAGCAATTGGAGGAGAGTTGGTGTACCCACTGGCATCCATGGCGCGGTCCTCGCCGAGGTGTTTTAGCAGGTCCGTGTACAACACGCCGTACGAGAACTGAAGACCAGTGGTCAGAACGTGAACCACGAACACACAGGCACAGATCAGCCATCCCCAGCCGCCTGTCGAGGGACATTTGGGGAGGTTAGCAATAGGTGAGATATATTACTCACAGAAATCACAATAGTTTGATGCATCAAATGAACTAATCCACAAGGGCACAATTCTTTTGACCATGATGTAGCTCAGTCGATTAAGGCAGCGTCTGAAATTCTCTCGTACGTAGGTTCGAACTTGTCACAGCTTTGTGGATTTGTTCATGTGAGATATATGATCAGCTATGGCGGTGGGGATAGGCACTTTGAGCGGGGTTCGAACCGGTGGGTTTGGGGCATTGACGAACTATGAGGAGGATGCTATATGGAAGTTATGAAGATGCAGTATGGAAGTTATGAGGGCGCTATATGGAAGTTATGAAGATGCAATATGGAAGTTATGAGGGCGCTATATGGAAGTTATGAGGGTGTTATATGGAAGTTATGAGGGCGCTATATGGAAGTTATGAGGGCGCTATATGGAAGTTATGAGGGTGTTATATGGAAGTTATGATGGCGCTATATGGAAGTTATGAGGGCGCTATATGGAAGTTATGAGGGCGCTATATGGAAGTTATGAGGGCGCTATATGGAAGTTATGAGGGCGCTATATGGAAGTTATGAGGGTGTTATATGGAAGTTATGATGGCGCTATATGGAAGTTATGATGGCGCTATATGGAAGTTATGAGGGCGCTATATGGAAGTTATGATGGCGCTATATGGAAGTTATGAGGGCGCTATATGGAAGTTATGAGGGTGTTATATGGAAGTTATGATGGCACTATATGGAAGTTATGAGGATGTTATATGGAAGTTATGATGGCACTATATGGAAGTTATGAGGATGTTATATGGAAGTTATGATGGCACTATATGGAAGTTATGAGGATGTTATATGGAAGTTATGATGGCACTATATGGAAGTTATGAGGATGTTATATGGAAGTTATGAGGGTGTTATATGGAAGTTATGAGGGCGCTATATGGAAGTTATGAGGGCGCTATATGGAAGTTATGAGGGCGCTATATGGAAGTTATGATGGCGCTATATGGAAGTTATGAGGGCACTATATGGAAGTTATGAGGATGTTATATGGAAGTTATGAAGATGCAATATGGAAGTTATGAGGGTGCTAGACGTTAGGAGAGCTATATCAGCGACACATGATAGCGTGTTATGAGCAAGATAACAACAGAATGGGAACTTGGCCGAAATACAGAAACATTACAAAGATTAATATGTGTTGATGAATGAGTAATTCGCACAGAGAATAAAGTATATTTGTTGATTAATTAATAAATTGTTTGCTGTCGTCCACGAGACCAATGGTACAAGTGAAGGTAAACAATTGTTGAATAACGGTGGAGGAGAAATAGAAATAGTATATAATAGTATATATATATATGTATATATATATATATATGTCGTACCTAGTAGCCAGAAGGCACTTCTCGGCCTACTATGCAAGGCCCGATTTGCCTAATGAGCCAAGTTTTCCTGAATTAATATATTTTCTCTAATTTTTTTTCTTATGGAATGATAAAGCTACCCATTTCATTATGTATGAGGTCAATTTTTTGTAGTTGGAGTTAAAATTAACGAATTAACGTAGATATATGACCGAACCTAACCAACCCTACCTAACCTAACCTAACCTAACCTATCTTTATAGGTTAGGTTAGGTTAGGTAGCCGAAAAAGTTAGGTTAGGTTAGCTTAGGTAGGTTAGGTAGTCGAAAAACAATTAATTCATGAAAACTTGGCTTATTAGGCAAATCGGGCCTTGCATAGTAGGCTGAGAAGTGCGTTCTGGCTACTAGGTACGACATATATATATATATATATATATATATATATATATATATATATATATGTGTGTGTGTGTGTGTGTGTGTGTGTGTGTGTGTGTGTGTGTGTGTGTGTGTGTGTGTGTGTGTGTGTGTGTGCGTGTACTAATAGGAAATAGGATATCATTGTGCTATCAATCAGAGAGGCACAGGAACCTTATAATCAGTTTACACATTCAGTATTTGGTTGAGAAAATTGGATTTGAAATGGGTGCAAGGAGAGACGGAATAAATTAGATCATGAGTTTAATTACGTCCCTAAATGAGGCAGGACAGGTCAACAGGATATGAGGCTGCTATAGGCCTCATGATATCCTGTTCTCACACTTAATGTGTAGTAATTCAGTGGCAATATAGACCTATGCATATTTTACGATCTCCCGGCCTAACGAAGACTTACGACCGGGGAGTTGGGTTGGTAGTACGATATCGTACGGCTAGGCCAAGCCACTTGATATCTGAAGCTTATGATAGCGTCAAATTGGGTGATATGTGGAGGCGGTGTTGCCAAGCTTTGCAGGTTCAGTTGCAACGGGGATGTGGCAACGAGGCGAAGCAGTTAGTTGCAGGGATAGAGATGGATAGAGTAGAGCTGACGTGTTGCAACATGGGATGGCAATGTCATGGAATAATGAGGAGTGTGTGAGTGTGTGAGTGTGTGAGTGGCTGAGTGTGTGAGTGTGTGAGTGTGTGTGAGTGTGTGAGTGGCTGAGTGTGTGAGTGTGTGAGTGTGTGTGAGTGTGTGAGTGTGAGGGGCCCCAGGGATGCTGAACGAGTGTGAGTGACCCACAATAGTAGAAGTCCTTTGATAACTGTGGTGTGGGAGGATTGACTGGGACATGCGCTCTGACGTGTCAACAAAGACCTTAAACACTGACCTTCCGGGTAGTAGTGTTGACGGATGGTCGAGGTCTTCACATCATGACGCTTGAGACCTGGCATGTGCTTCTGGAAGGAGTTCATCTCCCTCTCCGCGATGACCTGGAGGCCGTCAATCACGTTGTCGTCGCCCAGGTCCTCGTACCTCGAACGCTTCTCCTGCCCACCGCCATCTGTCCAAAACACAGCATCTTAGATATAGAAACATGTCTTAAGGTCTTATAGCCATTGCTTATAGCGTCACTAATCTCATTAGAGTGAGAAAATCAGTAGGAGCCATGGACAGGATTCGAACCCTGCACACGAACCTGAATCCTCAGTACCACAGTCGGTTCACCAGACCACACACTAGAAGGTGAAGGGACGACGACGTTTCGGTCCGTCCTGGACCATTTTCAAGTCGATTGTGGACCAAAACGTCGTCGTCCCTTCACCTTCCAGTGTGTGGTCTGGTCAACTTACTTTAGCCACGTTATTGTGACTCATCGCCTGCACCACAGTCGGTACTGATACCCATGATATGTGGATCATGTGTAGAGACAGGATTGGGGGCTCAGAGGATGCCTCAGGCACCCTAGAGGGTTCAGTGGCATCTCAGGTTGCACTACTTTTTGTAGCATATAGTGGCTCTAGTGGTTTAGGACGTGTGTACTCTGAACCCAGTGTGCAGGTTCGAATCCTCCTCATGATTCATACTGATTTTCTTACTGATACAATACTTTAATGTCATTTGGGCAATGATTTCAATGTATATTTACATCTTGGCTTGCATTTCTCAAAGCAATTGGCCCTAATTCAAATAAAAAGTTCAAAATTCACAGTAATCACTTCAATTTAATATACAACATGCTATGTGTAACCTTCGTATATCTAAAACATTACAACATAGAGTAAGAATTCCTTTATTGTATCATCTTCAAATCACTTGTGCTGTCCCGTCTTGAGTACTGCTCGGTATTCACGCCATCACGACTATATAGCACTGGGAAGGGGTCAGGATAAGGATTTGGGATGGGACGGAGGGGAAGGAATGGTGCCCAGCCACTGATGCACGGTCGGGGATTGAACGCTGACCTGCATGAAGCAAGACCGTCGCTCTACCGTCCACCCCAAGTGGTTGAGAAAGGAGACCAGAGAGATATTAAATAATATATACATAGACAAAACTGGAGGGCCAGGTCCCTAATCTACACAGTAAAATAACAACGTACTGGAGTGAATGATATGGAAGAAAATGTAGAATAGAACCGGTGAAGAGCAGAGGTGCCATAGGCACAATCAGAGAACACTGTATAAATATCAGAGGTCCAGTGAAGAGCAGAGGTGCCATAGGCACAATCAGAGAACACTGTATAAATATCAGAGGTCCAGTGAAGAACAGAGGTGCCATAGGCACAATCAGAGAACACTGTATGAACATCAGAGGTCCAGTGAAGAGCAGAGGTGCCATAGGCACAATCAGAGAACACTGTATGAACAACATCAGAGGTCCAGTGAAGAGCAGAGGTGCCATAGGCACAATCAGAGAACACTGTATGAACATCAGAGGTCCAGTGAAGAGCAGAGGTGCCATAGGCACAATCAGAGAACACTGTATGAACATCAGAGGTCCAGTGAAGAGCAGAGGTGCCATAGGCACAATCAGAGAACACTGTATAAACATCAGAGGTCCAGTGAAGAGCAGAGGTGCCATAGGCACAATCAGAGAACACTGTATGAACATCAGAGGTCCGCGGTTGTTCAACGTCCTCCCAGCGATGTTGAACAACTCTCTCTCTCTCTCTCTCTCTCTCTCTCTCTCTCTCTCTCTCTCTCTCTCTCTCTCTCTCTCTCTCTCTCTCTCTCTCTCTCTCTCACCCACTAAGATCCATCCAAAGATCACTCTGAAGATTGGGGGTTCCCTAGGGCAGAAATCCAATCCTCGAAACATTTCCCCCTAGTTATTCCGGGTGATTGGTCAATCACTTTGCATCGGGGTTGAGACCCTGAATAGTATCCCAACTCTCCTGTCAAGCGCCCTGGACAGCAGATCGAATCCTACACATAAATCCTTCAAAGGGAACTGGATCCTCTTTGGGGACAGGGGTTTGGTGGGGCAGACTGGCAGCTGAATCTGTAATTTAATTTCCCCTCTATAATTAACAAACTCTGACTTGACAAATTCATCAAAAATTCCTTTTTTTTCTACTGTGAGGAGACTGTTCTACTGTGAGGAGCCTGTTCTACTGTGAGGAGGCTGTTTTACTGTGAAGAGGCTGTTCGACTGTGAAGAGACTGTTCTACTGTGAGGAGACTGTTCTACTGTGAGGAACCAGTTCTACTGTGAAGAGACTGTTTTACTGTGAAGATGCTGTTCGACTGTGAAGAGACTGTTCTACTGTGAGGAGCCTGTTCTACTGTGAAGAGACTGTTTTACTGTGAAGAGGCTGTTCGACTGTGAAGAGACTGTTCTACTGTGAAGAGACTGTCCTACTGTGAAGAGACTGTCCTACTGTGTGGAGCCTGTTCTACTGTGAGGAGGCTGTTCTACTGTGAGGAGACTGTTCTACTGTGAGGAGGCTGTTCTACTGTGAGGAGACTGTTCTACTGTGAGGAGACTGTTCTACTGTGAGGAGGCTGTTCTACTGTGAGGAGACTGTTCTACTGTGAGGAGGCTGTTCTACTGTGAGGAGACTGTTCTACTGTGAGGAGGCTGTTCGACTGTGAAGAGACTGTTCTACTGTGAAGAGGCTGTTATACTGTGAGGAACCAGTTCTACTGTGAGGAGACTGTTCTACTGTGAGGAGACTGTTCTACTGTGAGGAGACTGTTCTACTGTGAGGAGCGTGTACAATATGGTACAATAAGGTACCTTAGGAACAGGTACAATACCAACATGGAACACTGGGTACTAAGGTACAATACCAACATGGAACACTGGGTACAAAGGTACAATACCAACATGGAACACTGGGTACAAAGGTACAATACCAACATGGAACACTAGGTACAAAGGTACAATACCAACATGGAACACTGGGTACAAAGGTACAATACCAACATGGAACACTAGGTACAAAGGTTCAATACCAACATGGAACACTGGGTACAAAGGTACAATACCAACATGGAACACTGGGTACAAAGGTACAATACCAACATGGAACACTGGGTACTAAGGCACAATACCAGTATGGAACAATGTACAATACCCGTTTGCCAACTTTAATGCCTGAGTTAGTGAGGACTTCCTTGATGAACGAGGGAAAGTCTCCAAGTTCTCCAAGAAGTTCTATCCAAGTTCTACAAGAACTTAGCAAGAACTTCACCCGAGCCCCATGAATGGTTCGAAACCCACCCGAATTAAATAGGATATAACAATCACCTCGTTCCAAAGACCACATAATTCTCCACGTCGACTATTTCGAACCAGTAGTCATGCCAGTGGCTAAAGTCGACTTTACTATGAGAACTTTACTATGATATACTTTACTGAAGAGACTTTAATATGACAGTAAGAACCATAGAGAAATGTCAAGCTCGTCCCAGACTCACATAAGTTTGAGCGAGTTGGAATTGCATCGAAAATATGCAATTGAATCCAACTCCAATTGGACCCTTTCGTGTCGCATTGCTCGTTAAGCTTAACGCTGTTATGGCTGCAGATTGTTGGCTCAGTCATGCTTGCTCTTGCATCTGGGACGGCGTAGTTGCAGGAGCAATCACTTCTTGCACCAACATGACGAAGCCAGTGCATCCCTACGGTCGTGTAGTGTGACACTGAGGATCGCGACGGAATATTTGACTCAGATTTTGTGACTTATTTTTTGTCCAGATTTGAGATATTGTCGTGGAGATGTTGTGGTGGTGATGTTGTGGTGGTGATGTTGTCGTGGAGATGTTGTGGTGGTGATGTTGTGGTGATGTTGTGGTGATGTTGTGGTGGTGATGTTGTGGTGGTGATGTTGAGTGGGTGATGTTGTGGTGATGATGTGTGGTGGTGATGTTGTGGTGGTGATGTTGTGGTGGTTGATGTTGTGGTGGTGATGTTGTGGTGGTGATGTTGTGGTGGTGATGTTGTCGTGATGTTGTGGTGGTGATGTTGTCGTGGAGATGTTGTGGTGGTGATGTTGTGGTGATGTTGTGGTGATGTTGTGGTGGTGATGTTGTGGTGGTGATGTTGTGGTGATGTTGTGGTGATGTTGTGGTGGTGATGTTGTGGTGGTGATGTTGTGGTGGAGATGTTGTGGTGGTGATGTTGTGGTGGTGATGTTGTGGTGGTGATGTTGTCGTGGAGATGTTGTGGTGGTGATGTTGTCGTGGAGATGTTGTGGTGGTGATGTTGTGGTGATGTTGTGGTGATGTTGTGGTGGTGATGTTGTGGTGGTGATGTTGTGGTGATGTTGTGGTGATGTTGTGGTGGTGATGTTGTGGTGGTGATGTTGTGGTGGAGATGTTGTGGTGGTGATGTTGTGGTGGTGATGTTGTGGTGGTGATGTTGTGGTGGTGATGTTGTGGTGGTGATGTTGTCGTGGTGATGTTGTGGTGGTGATGTTGTGTTGTGGTGATGTTGTGGTGGTGATGTTGTGTGGTGATGTTGTGGTGATGTTGTGGTGATGTTGTGGTGGTGATGTTGTGGTGGTGATGTTGTGGTGGTGATGTTGTGGTGGTGATGTTGTGGTGGTGATGTTGTGGTGGTGATGTTGTGGTGGTGATGTTGTGGTGGTGATGTTGTGGTGGTGATGTTGTGGTGGTGATGTTGTGGTGATGTTGTGGTGGTGATGTTGTGGTGATGATGTTGTGGTGGTGATGTTGTGGTGGTGATGTTGTGGTGGTGATGTTGTGGTGGTGATGTGGTGTGTTGTGGTGATGTTGTGGTGGTGATGTTGTGGTGGTGATGTTGTGATGTTGTGGTGGTGATGTTGTGGTGGTGATGTGTTGTGGTGGTGATGTGTTGTGGTGGTGATGTGTTGTGGTGGTGATGTGTTGTGGTGGTGATGTGTTGTGGTGGTGATGTGTTGTGGTGGTGATGTGTTGTGGTGGTGATGTTGTGGTGGTGATGTTGTGGTGGTGATGTTGTGGTGGTGATGTTGTGGTGGTGATGTTGTGGTGATGTTGTGGTGGTGATGTTGTGGTGTGATGTTGTGTGGTGATTGGTGTGATGTTGTGGTGGTGGTGATGTTGTGGTGGTGAT